ACAAACGATAATACACTTTATTATTGCATCTACCACGATGAATAACAACAACCTTTTCCTCGACAATATTTTCTGTATTTACTGAATGACTGACTGACTAACTGACTGACTGACTCAATGAATGAATGAATGAAAACTTTACTGACATGTCAGTGTATTTAGCTATAGATTAGCTAACATAATAGGCACATATATATTAACTAATTATTTTAATTGCCTGTTAAATTAAGCAGTTTTTCTTAGGGAGAATTTACTCGTGGTTTATTTAAATTATTCCTTGTTTTGCTTTGGAATGACTGTGTGCTTGGTTTTTTGGTTTTTAAATTTATTTTGTGATAATCTGTATTGGCATAAATTCATATTTTGCCAACATGAAATGGAAATCTGGGTGCAGGCATACATGTGAGCAAAGGTGCAGGATTAGTATGTTTGTAAAAAGAGAGGGTTGAAAAATTTGTAACATAATATGGACAGCCAAGCCACCTGCAACCTCCAATAAGGTTAATTTATGTCTTAGTGTTGTGTGAATTAAAATGCAATGTAGTGTTATTTAATTTCTGTCTCAATGTGATGTTTATACGATACCCCTATAAACCCAAAGGTAGTACCACTGCATTTGGCCAGGGGTACATTGTCTCTGTTTGTCCTTAATAAGATGTTTTGGGGGTTTACATCTCCAGCTTTGGTGCAAGTAGGATATTGATGTATTGTTTATCCATTTTGCTGTAAGTTATCTTTAGTTATTGATGTGTCGATTAAAACATATCTTGGGCCTGGCCTCATAACCTTTTGAGTGCACTTGGTTGTGTAGTGCAGGCAAAATACTTGCACATAATATAACTTACTTATAGCTTACTTATTTATTTTAGGTACAGTTGAATAATAACAAAATTAATAATTAATGGCACCTTTTGAAAGGTTTTGTAGTCCACAATCTCAGTGGAGAAAAAAACAAATTGAAATTGAGTTATAAAATTATCATTCGAAACATACGCAAGTATTTATGTTCAGCAACAAAATGTTATCTTCACCGTTTATGGCAGATTGATTGTGCTCTTACATGTACATTTGAGGGATGGTGCAAACCCTTCCAGCAGGGGAAGACTCTCTATAAAAGTGAAGATTGCTAACTGTATCTTTGGGGATCGAGTTATAAAACAAAACTTTTCGACTTTTCACCTAGTCTGGTATTTCTGCGAGATTTTATCTGGTAGAGATTTAGCAACTGAGTATATTGTAACCACTGTATTTCAGTTATATCCCACAACAAAAAAATGAGCAAACGTCTTTTACGTGAGAGTCCCAATGTTAACTAAGAAAGGATATAATGATTAATATCTACATCTTGCCTTTCTGAATAAGGTAGGAAAAAAAATAAGAAACTGCAAAATCGTCCAAAATTGGCGACACATACATGCTAGATTATTTTAATTAAAAGGAGCATCCCAAAAAAATAACTGATGATCTCCGCTTTTAGGCCTGGCTAAATCTATATATCTTGGTTGTGCAGTAACGCAAATGAAAGAACACGGTGTCAGTCGGCCTAAAAGTTGTCAAACGTGCGTGTGTCAAGTAGCTTGAAAGTAGCATATATTTTTATTAAGATGATTCATGTTTAAGCCACGAGATAGACACTGTATTTTTTCGTGAAATTTAATACTCAAATCAGCTATGCGTATTTATATCAGATCTCGCTTTGCCATGTGTATTCCAGAACTTTTTCATGTTTTACTTGCACTTTATAGAGAGACGTTCTACAATAAAAGGGTACCATTACAAGTGCGACTTAATTCCAGCTACTGCAAAAACATAAAGGAAACATATTTCCATGTTGCCTTGCACCTGTTCAGCAACCACGACAAAAAGAAATCATAATTTACATATCCCTCTTAAACTAGCAAACCGGTACCTAGAACAGTCTTTCAGTGTTAAATATTTAGGACTCATTATTGATTGCTCACTGTCTTGGCACGACCATATCGATTATATAAGTAATAAAATTAGCAAAAGTGTAAATGTTAT